TCTCTCTCTCTCTCTCTCTCTCTCGCTCTCTCTCTCTCTCTCTCCCCGCTCTCACTGTCTCTTCCCGCTACTCCATCTCGCTCACCTGAAGGGTTGCGGGAACTCTTGCTGCTGGGTGCTGGGGAAGCCGAGCACTGGTCTCTTCTTCAGCTCCTGTTCTCTCTGCTCAAACACGTTCACCTCGGCCGACTTCTTCAGCACCTCTGTCTTGAACTCGGATGGAGCCTCCTTACCCTTATCACTGAAAACCAAACAAAATGTTACATGCAGTAGATGCTAGATCCGTGGTTCCCAAAGTGGGCGGTACCGCCCCCAGGGAAAGATCCAGGGGGTGGTGAGAAAAAAGGGGGCGGTAGGGGGGCGCCAGGGTGGCATCAGAACCAAGTAAGAATATTTTTTTTACAAAATCAATATGACATACTCTACCCCTTTCATATTGCTAAAAGAGCGAAATAAATGGGTTTACTAGGTTAAGTTTTATTTGTGAAATACATACGTGTGTTTACAGTGTTAGGTTAGTTGTTTTGAATTTGCAGTAGACCTAACACCAAGAAAGAGGTGTGTGTTCGTATCATACGATATGTGTGTGTGGAGAGCGCCAGGGATGTGGCCTGGGAGCCAAGGGGGCAACAGCCCGAAACAATTTTTGGGAACCACTGTGCTAGATGCTACAGGATCGACGCAAGCATGAACGAAGCCATGCTAGTACATTTCATGAACTAGCCATCACTGAACTATGCTACCATCATAGTATTGTGGATATTCTGTATAACGTATAGCGTAATGTACATTATGTGTTTCTGGAAATGAAGGGCATTATATATTTTTTTTTTTAATTCATGAACTGTTCGCTCACATTACCACTTGCCTTGTATTAGGCTGTCTGGCTAATCACCTTTTGGTGATAAAACTTCGCTGAGATGCTGACGATGAAGATTTCTCGTAAGTAAGAGAGTATTGACGTAGAAACATCTGACTGCTAGCACTCTGTCAGCATCTACTTACTCTTGCCTCCAGCCATCCCTCTCTCAGCCAAACCCCCCTCCCTCATCCACCCAGCTTTCCTTCTCTAACCATCCCTCTCTCAGCCCAACCCTCCCTCATCCACCCAGCTTTCCTACTCTCCCTCGTACAAATTCCCTCAATACGACCGCTATCTCATCCCCAACCAGCCAGCACGTCCTCACTCACAGCCCCTCCATAAAACCCTTCCTCCATCCGCCCACAACGCTCTCCTTTAAGCCTAGCGCGGACCTGCGATTTGTGGTTGCTCGTCACTGCAACCTGCAACCGCAAGCGATCGGTCGATGTGTCACCGCATGTGTGCGCACACATGCGATTTCGAAGCAATTCTAGAGCAATTTGGGAGCGATTGGGAGCGATGAGTCGCTCGAAATCAAAACAGGTTGATTTCTTGCAACTCGTCGCAAGCGACCAGAATCGCTACGGGTTGCAGACGCACATTCCCGCAGACGTAGCGATTTCACAGCAATTTTTACAGCGATTCTAGAATCGCTGTCGAGTTGCATGAAAATGACGCAGGTCTGCGCTAGGCTTCACTCTTCCGCTCCACTCCCCCTGCGTGCTCACCTAGGGTCCACAACGCCGTGTTCTCCAAACGTGATGGGCTGTGTGCGGTAGCGCTCACTCGTACGGTCGTGCCGCCGCTGCCTACGCGACCGGTCCTGCACCTCAGACCTCGGATCAGCTACACGGCACAGCAGCTGTTCGTCTGACACGACCGGAAACTCCTTCAGCAGACGATTGTACTTGTCGTCTAGTTCCGATGTCGGCCTGCAGGGGGCAGCACGTGGGTTACGATCTAGTGAGGGTGTTGAATTTCACGATAGTTGCGACCGTAGATATATATATAAACTATTATCATGAGATTTATCTGTATAATCATTATAATATTATAGGATAGATATAGATCCTCTAACTGATATCTCGCCGAACACATGTATAGGTACGTTATATATGCTGCTAGCTTATAATATGTTGTTTATGTGGTGTTGTGACCATGGAAATAATATAGGTAGACATTATAGGTATAGTGTATCTATAATTGTAGCCTGTCAGATCGAAACATGCCGTAGGACTTCAATGTTCATTCTGAGTTATAGGTGATTTTTCACCTAAAAGTAGTAAAAAGCCGATTTTTCTTTTGTCATAAATACCTTTAGTAGTTATCCATGTTCGATGTTACATCAATAAAACTGGCCAAAAGTGTGTCTTTGTGTGTTTATTTGCGTGTCCAAAAAGTGCGGATTTCCAAAAAGTTTGCATAAAAGTTTCCAAATGAAGGCCAAATGAAGACAAACTTTAACTTTATGACCTAATTACTCTGAACTTTGTTTTCCAAAATCGGCCCGATTCCAACTACTCAAATGCTCATAACTTCCGAACCACGTGATCGACCTAGAAAGAAGATCTTGGTGTCAAAATAACCAGAATTGAATGGTCTTTCTGATAAAACTACTAACTCATAATGTCCGAATTGAGTCCTACGGCATGTTTTGATCTGACAGGCTACATGTATTTCTATGGTTGTGACTGTCACTATACTATGTTATAAATACTTATATTATATATGACATAAGTATGTTGTCATTACATTGTTGATTTTTATACGTTATTATAGTTATGACATTACGTCATACATACACACGTGACTTAAGTATATGCACGTTCATGCTACACGCTTGCTCTTTAATTGTGGGGGGGCAAATTTGTTTCCTGAATGTTAACTGGTATTAAATGCGAATGCTGCAAAAACATTTTTAAGTGCTTCGTTGGTAACGAAACAGGTGGTCTTGCATGATATTTCACAAAACATTCCATTACGTCATACATACACATGTGACTTAAGTATATGCATGTTCATGCTGCACTCTTGCTCTCCAAATTTAATTGGAGGGGGGCAAATTTGTTTCCGGAATGTTAACTGGTAATCCGAATGCTGCAAAAACATTTTTCAGGGTTTCATTTGCAATTTAAAACGCGTTGGTAAAGAAACAGGTGGTTCTGCATGATGTTTCACAAAACATTACAGCTGTTTACTCTTTTGGTTCAGTCATATTGACACGAGCTCATTAGCCGAACAATAACAGTATCTACGTCAACAGACAAGAACGCTAATCCGTCTCCTGTCTCTTTGTTTGTCTTTCTCTCCCGTTTATTCAATGCACCCGCTTCCGTGGGTGTTCACATCAGTTGTCGGTGTATTTACTTACATGCGTTCGTGCGAGAATGCGTGAGTTCATTTGCGAGTAAAACAACCATTCAGCAAAAATTATTATAACTGTTAGATCACGATTGACATTATTACTTGTTCTCCATCATCAATGTTTGATATATTTATTTATTTAACAATACTAAACAAAATATTAGCAGGGCATGAAATTCAGATTTTTTGCACTGGCCCAGAGGGCTGACAACAGCAGTTTTTTTACCAGCCCTCACCATAATTTACCAGCCATCACAAATTTTTTTTTTTCAAACATAAAGATAAGACTGTTTCGAAACAGTGATCGCTGACTCTTGCTTGTCCAAAAAATGTTGTCGTGTGCGGCATCGCGTAGTAGCTATTAAACAGACTATAATGCAGATCGTGAATGATGTCCGAAGTGATTATTTTATTCACTCCTGGAGGTATGAATTTACTTGTGTACTAACGCCTGCTGAAAAATGTTGTTCCTGCCTCAGCCTCCGTTACTGCGCTTTCGCTTCTTTTACTGTTCAATCAATGCGTCATGTCGTGTCGTGTCATGTCAATGTGCCGTGTATTCCGTGACAACCTACGAACTAATACGAACCTTCTGAAGATCGACGATGCCGTTTTGCCGGGAGTTGACACCCCACTGTTACTCTTCTCCAGCTTTGTCTGCATGCGGGTGATCCTCTCCTGAATGGACACCTCGCGTGGCTCCTCTACTCCTTCGTCGATAGCTTCCTCCTTCACCTCCTCCTGGGCAACGACGGTAGGGTCAGTGTCACAGCAAGGCCACTATTGCATGAGGATGGAAGAGGAGGATGGATACTCACCTATTGCTGCTACTCCTGTATCGACAGATGTTTGTTGAGGGAAGGATGAAGGGGGAGGGGGGGGTAGGAGGTAGAGAAGGAGGAACGAGAGGAGGAGGGTGTGGTGGTGAGGTTTAAACTACTATTGCTGCTTTTGTTTGTGCAGCGGTTCTATTCTTTTGTGAAGGAAGGAAGAAAAGGAGTAGGAGGAAGAGGAGAAGGGGGAGGTGGAAGAGGATGAGGAGGAGGAGAGGAGATGGAAGAAGAGTAAGAATCATGCGGAAGAGGAGGGGAAGGAGGGTGGAAGGAGGAAGAAGAGGAGGAGGAGGAGGAGGAGGAGGAGGAGGAGGAGGAGGAGGAGAGGAGGCAGGAGGGTGGAAGAGAAGTAGTCATGCGGCAGAAGGAGGGAAGGAGGGTGGAAGGAGAAGAAGAGGAGGGGATGGAGCAGAGGAGGAGGGAGGGGAGAGGAGGGATGGAAGGAAGAAGTAAGAATCATGCGAGAAGAGGAGGGGAAGGAGCGGTGGACGGAGAGGAAGAGGAGGAGGAGGAGAGGAGGAGGAGTGAGGGGGGGGGGGAAGAGGGGAGGTAATGGAAGAAGAGTAAGAATCTGCGGTTAATAGGAGGAGGGAGGGGGGAAGGAGGAGAGAGGGGAGGGGAGGAGGAGGGGAGGAGGAGGAGGAGGGAGGAGGGAGGAGGAGATGGAAGAGAGTAGATCATGCGGAAGAGGGGAGGAGGGTGGAGGAGGAAGAAGAGGAGGCAGGAGGAGGGCGAGGAGGAGGGGGAGAGGAGAGTGGAAGAAGATGTGAGATCAGCAGAAGAGGGGGAAGGGAGGAGAAGGGAGGAAGGAGGCAGAGAGCGAGAGGAGGAGGAGGAAGCAAAGGAGCAGGGGAGGGGGCAAGAAAAGGAAGAGAAGCAAGAGTACAAGAAAGAGAAGAAAGCGGTGCGGGAGAAGGAAAAGAAGGTGTGCAGAAGGAGAAAAGAATGTCTTCTCACCTGCTCCTGCCTCTGCAGCTGCTTCTTCAGGGCAACGATGGCATCGACGGGACAGGCCACCTCACCTCCCTCATCCCCGGACACTGACTGTTGCTGTAGCAGCTCCTCCTCCCTCTTCCTCCTCAGCTGCAGCCTCTCCGCCAGCTCGGCCGACGCGCCCCCTGCCGGCACCGTGTCCGTGTCCGAGCTGCTGCCGGATGCCGCCATGTGGCGCCACCTCTCGTCGATGTCGTCAATGCTGAGCGCCTTACGAGCGAACTCGCGCCGTTTCTTCAGGATCGGCTGCAGCTCGTGGCACGCTGCCCGTATGTCCTCCTCCTCCTCCTCCCCCTCCTCCTCCTCATCCCCTTCCTCCCTGTCCTTCTTCTGCGTGCGCGCCTGCTGGATCTTCAGATCGATCATGTCTTCCTCGTCCGACAGCACGGAGCGCTCTAACCTCTCCTTCAGCTTCGGTGCGAGCTCCTTCCCCGCCCCGCTCGTCGCCACGGCGCTCGGCGGCTGCTTTCCGCGCTGTATGCGTTCGTCGATGTCCGTCGCCTCGGCGCCGTAACGCTGCAGCAGCTTTGGCGCAAGCTCCTTCCCGGCGCCGCTCGTTGCCACGGCGACCTCGTCCGCATCGAGGCTCGCTTGCTTCGCGACGCGCGCTTGCTCGAAACGCGTGTCGATCGCCGATCCGGCGTCGCCGGCGACGACCGCCTCCTGCCGCTGCCGCAGCTTCGGTTCGAGCTCTCGGCCCGCCCCGCGCACGGCCGCCTCCCCCTCCTCCTCCTCCCCCGGCACCTCCTCCTCGCCGGGGCGCCTCGCTCCGGGCTTCTCCTTGCCGCTGTCGAGCACGCGCTTGACGTCGTCCTCGGGGAGGTCCTCGCGCTCGCGCCGCAGTGAGAGGATGGAGGCGAGCTCGGGCGCGGCACCCTCCGCGACAGATATGATCGCAACACGCTCCCGCAGCGCGCGCGCCCGCTCCGCTCCACGATAAACGTCCGAATCCGACTCCGACTCCGACTCCGACTCCGACTCCGACTCGGATTCTGATTCCGATTCCGATTCGGACCTTTCCGGAGTCTTGAGGATTCCGACGGGCTGCGGCTGCGTGGGAGCGCTACTCTGCTTCAAGATGGAGTGCGGCCACTCCTCGACGTCTTCCGTCGATCGCGCCTTGAGGATGGAGACGGGCGCGCCGTCCGCTGACGTCAAGCTGCTGCTGCGGGACTTCAGGATAGAGGGCGCCGGCGCTGGGGACGGCGACGTAGACTTCAGGATGGATCGTCGCTCGGCGTCGCTGCCGCTGGAGCGGCGCCGGACTAGGATGGAGGTGACCTCCGCCGCCTCGTCGCTGTCCGTGCCGCGGCTGCCCCCGCCGCCGCCGCCGCTGCCGCTGCCCTGCTTCAGGATGGACTTGGGTTCCTCGAGGCTACGGCTGCGGCTACACGGCCGGTCCACGTCGTCGTCGAACGACGCTGACTTCAGGATCGACTTTGGCAGATCGTCGTCGACGGAGGCGCCCTCTGGCGTTGTCATGCGGACGGGGCGCCGCTCGGGCGACTTTGCGGCGTCGCCTAGCTTCGCGGCCGACTTCAGGATGCCTTTCTTCCGCTCTGGCGAACGCGCGTCGCCCGAAAGTCGCCGGCCGACAGTGGCGCCGTCTTGCGTCGTTTTCTCGGGAGGAGAATCTGGTTTTTTGAGGCCTGAGGCGGCCGGGATCGCTCCGGATAGTGTCTCAGACACAGACTCGAATTCCCCGGTCGTGTCGCTATCCGCGGACACAAACTCGTCGATCGACTCCTCCGGTGCTGCCACCTGGCAACCAAAATCATGCTGCGGTGTTAGTAGTTAGTAGCCTAGTTTATGCATAGAGGGCGTTGCTGCTAGGTTCCTCAGACTGGAGGGCCCATAGGGCCTGTATGTTGCCGAGTCGTCAACACGAACTGTATTCTCGAGAGCTACGAACTCTATCACACAGGCACACATTCACATATCAAATAAACTACAAAGTAACGGTAAATCAAATAAACTACAAAGTAACGGTAAATTATCATTAAGGACAATATGCCCATAATCTTCGCTTTGGCTTCACAAGTGCTCAACAGAATAACACTACAATATAGGACAATGTCACGATACATGGACATCAATCTGGCCATGAAACGATTTTTTTATAATTTTTTTCTGCTTTAACAGCAGAACGATCCAAAAGCTGCCGGAAAATAAGCATTTTGGACAAACGCAAATGAGAATCAGACAAAAAGCACACTATTCTAACCAAACTAAGGCCTTTACAAACAACATCTAAAGCCAAGCTAAACTTGCCAAGATGGAACTAACATAATGTAATATCAATGGAGTACATAAAACACGTAAACAGAGTGTTAGGGCGAGTGAGTGAGAGAGAGAGAGAGAGAGAGAGAGAGAGAGAGAAAGGAAAAAGATGGGGACTAGCAAAGCATTTCAGAACCATGTAAATATAAGACAAGAGGCAGCCATCTTGCTTTAAAAACGAAAGGTTGTGCGGAATGCCAAGCTTGACGTAGCTTCAGATGCAGAGAACGAGCATGTAAGATATATGTAGATATGTATGTATATGTAAGATATATGTAGATATGTATGTATATGTAAGATATATGTAGATATGTATGTATATGTAAGATATATGTAGATATGTATGTATATGAATAAATATATATGACGCAAGGAAATACACATCATACATAGGCATGCAATGCCGACGTGACCTGTGTTTTGTTTCGCGAAGGTCACACAATCGAACGATATTAGACATTGTGCGAAGGTAGGTACACACTAAGTGAAGCACCAACACCGAGTAGACAAAGCGAGAACAAACCATATATAGCATTCAAGGATTTCCACACCCTCAGACGTGCAGGTGCAAATTAAGACGAATAAGTGCAATGAAGGTATTCATCGGTGGGGCCAGGGGAGATGAGGTAGGCTAAAGCATATATATATATATATATGTGTATCAGCGGTAGTGTGGAAAAACTTGTGCTAGTTGGAGGTGGCACCCTGCGACCAAAACCAAGGTGCCGCCTCCAGTCGGCTTTTTGTCTGATTCTCATTTCTCGTCTCGCTTTTATCTTTGCGCTCGAGGGAACGCAGAGGTGGCAATCCACGGCCAGATACAAACACAAACGCACGCACGCACGCACGCACGCACGCACGCTAACTCAGACCGCACTGGTCTTTATTCTTGTCCTGTTTACTGTCACGTTTACTTGCATTTACCTTAGGCATCACTTCCGGTTCTAGTTTAGCCGGCAGCGTTGTGGATTTCTGCTGACCACCAGGGGGAGCCTCCTGCTGCGACGCCCGCCCCGGATCAAGAGTCGCCGACTGTTGCATGTAGGGTGGCGCGTGCGCATTGTCGCTCGACAGTTGGATCGGCTCGTAAATGGGCGATTTTTTAAACTCGCTGCTGAGCGGCCGCGCCACGTCCGCCTCGACCCGCAGACCGCCAGCGCCACCTGCCGGCACATTGCTCGCCGATTTCGATTCGGGTTGCAACTCGCGGGTTTTCTCCGTCGTAGGTGGCGCCGCTTTCGTCGCCGCGTCGTCGCCCTTGGTGAACGCTCCCACCTTGACGGCGTGTTTCACCGTGAGTTTCGGCTGCTCCTGCACCGGATGGAAGGCCGCCATCTTGGGGTCGGGGTCGCGACCCCCGGCCGCTGTGGCCTCGCTCACGACGGGTCGCTGCGCGTCCGATACAGACGTCTCGTGACTCGCTGTCTTCGCTCCCGACGTGATTGGCTGCCTCACGTCGATGACGGGCTCCTTCCCGGCGACGGTTGACGCTCGATTGGCTGGACTAGATTTCGTCTTCACAGTGGAGGCAGCGTCCGGGCGCCGCGCCTCAGCTGCTGGTTTGCTCGTGTTTTTGGGTTTCGCGCGCCACGCGGACTCCAACGGCTTGGTGCGCATCTGTGGCTCTAACACAGGTTCGCTCACTACAGGCTTTCCGGGTCGAGGTGTCAGTTTAACTACCGGCGTGCTTTCAAGGGACGGTGAGGGTTTCTGGGGGGCGGGGGACTGCGCATCAGGTTTACTTATGGGGGCAGCTTTCGGGGCCTCAGTACTTGGGGTGGGGGACGCCAAAGATGGCGACTGCTCGCTTTTCTTGCTAGGGGTCTCGTCGGTATCAGCCTTGGCTGGAGCTTTAGCTGTCACCGTGCTCGGGACCAGGGACTTTGGTGAAGGTAGCGAACCATGGCTTACATTGCTGGCATCCGTCGTCTTAGCAACAACCGCAACTTTAGGGGTCAGGCTACTTGGGACTAGGGGTTTCGGCGACGGCGCCTGTTCATTTTTCTTGCTATCGACCTCGCCGCCTTTAAACCCCACTGCGGCTTTTGTGGTCGCGGTTGCACCGCTGGGAGTAACTTTGCTTGGGGTCGTTTTATTTCGGGTGGGTGCAATTGGGGTAGCATTACTTGGGGTGGCTTTATTTGGTGTCGTGAGCTTTGGCGAAGGCGTCTGCTCCAACCTCTTGCCGGCATCCTCGCCCTTTTTCGACGCGACGAATTTCGCGTCGATGGCTTTGAGGCGTGCCTCGCCGGGAGACTTGGGTCTCTGCTCAGCCTTGCTGGGAATGCTCAGCCAAGCAGCCTTCTTGTCTGCCACATCGTCGCCACGCTTCTGCCGCCGCGGCGTCGGATCTGATGGCTCCTGGGCCGCCGGCACCACTGCCGTCTTCTCGAGTGACTTTGGCAGCCCCCCTTTGCTGCTGCTTGGGAAAGTCGACGTGTCGACAAGCTTTGGTTTGCCGTCGATAGAGGGCGCCGCTGCCTCTGCCTCGTGGTTCTGCACGTGCTTCTGAAGCTGTTCCTCCATGTCTCTCTCTGTCTTCTCCAGGGCCTTGCATTCCTTCTCTAGCGTCGAATCGTCAGTGGCCTGCTCCCTGACCTCTCCAGTGGCAGACTTGCTTGCTTCTTCCGCCACGACCCGCTCTGGCTCCTCCGCCTCCTCCTCCTTCTTCCCTTTTTTCGCATCTTTCTTCTTGTTTTTTGACTTGGGGGACTTTGGGGAGCTGGGTCTCTTGGAGAATGTTTTCCCCATGTCTGCGGGGGTGGTGTCGTCGTCTGCTGCTGCCGGAGTGCTGCGCGAGTCTGCGTCTACAGCTGAAAAAGTAATGGAAATCAAGCAATCAGTCGTTTGCAAGTTAACTCACGTCTTGCTGGACGTAGCAGAAAGATAACAGGGCGTATGTGATTAGTCATTCGTCCATAACTCAAGACTCGCTGGCAAGAAAAGCCAGCAAAAGGCAAGGAAACACTGAATGCTGCATCAGTCACTTTAATGTTCTGCTGAGATGAAGATGTGTGTAGATAGCATGGATGAGATGATCATGTGTGTAGATATAGGATGAAGATTGAGATGGGATGTGTGTAGATCTAGTATGGGATGAGATGTGTGTAGATATCAGGAATAGGGATGAAGAGTGTTTGTAGAATAGCGGATGAGATGAATGGGGATGTGTGTAGATAGTTAGGATGAGATGAGATGTGTGTAGATACTAGGATGAGATGATTGATGTGTGTAGATATAGGATGAGATGATGATGTGTGTAGATATAGGATTGAGATGAGAATGTGTGTAGATATAGGATGACGAATGAGATGTTTGTGTAGATATAGTGATGAGATGAGAGATGTGTGTAGATACAGGATGAGATGAGATGTGGTGTAGATATAGGATGAGATGCAGATGTGTGTCGATATACGGATGAGATGAGATGTGTGTAGATAAATAGGATGAGATGAGATGTGTGTAGATATAGGATGAGATGGGACTGTGTGTAGATATAGATAGATGAGATGTGTGTAGTATATAGGATGAGATGAGATGTGTGTAGATATAGGATGAGATGGGATGAGATGTGTGATAGATCATAGGCATGAGTATGAGATGTGTGTAGATATAGGATGAGCTGAGATGTGTGTAGAGTATACAGGAGAGAATGGGTATGTGTGTAGACTATAGGATGAGATGGGATGTGTGTTAGATTATAGGATGAGATGAGATGTGTGTAGATATAGATGAGATGAGATGTTGTGTAGATATAGGATGAGATGAGATGTGTGTGAGATATAGGATGAGATGGGATGAATTGTGTAGATATAGGAGAGATGGGATGTGGTGTAGATATTAGGATATGATAGATGTGTCGTAGATAGAGATGAGATGGATGTGTAGTAGATATAGGATGAGACTGAAGAGTGTGTAGATATATAGGAATGAGATGGGATGTGTGTAGATATAGGATGAGCTGGGACTTGTGTGTAGATATATGGACAGATGAAGATAGTGTGTAGATATAGGATGAGATGGATGGATGTGCTGAGATCTAGGATGAGATGAGATGCTGTGTAAGATATAGGTAATGAGATGAGATGTGTGTAGATATATGGATGAGATGGGATGTGTGTAGATATAGGATGGAGAGTGAGATGTGTGTAGTATATGGATGAGAATGAGATGTGTGTAGATATAGGTATGGAGATGAGATGTGTGTAGATATAGGATGAGATGGGATGTGTGAGATATAAGGCATGAATGGGATGTGTGGTAGATATAGGATGAGATGAAGATGTGTGTAGATATAGGATGATGATGGATGAGATGTGTGTAGATATACGGATGAGATGACCGATGTGTGTAGATATATACGGATGAGATGAGATGTGTGTAGATTATAGGATGGATGGGATGTGTGTAGATATAGGATGAGATGAGATTGTGTGTAGATATACGGACTGAGATGAGATGTGTGTAGATAATAGATGAGATGGATGAGATTGTGGTAAAGATATAGGATGGGATGGAGATGTGTGTACGAGATATAGGATGAGATGAGATGTGTGTAGATTATAGGATGAGATGGATGAGATGTCGTGTGAGATATCGATAGATGAAATGTGTGTAGATCATACGAATGAGATGGGATGTGTTGTAGATATTAGGATCGAGATGGTGATGAGCCTGTGTGTAGGATATAGGATGAGATTGAAATGTGTGTAGATATAGGATGAGATGAGATGTGTGTAGTATATAGTAGGAAAAAAAATGAATGAGATTGTGTGTAGATTAGGATGAGATGAGATGTGTGTAGAACTATAAGGATGAGATGGATGTGTGTAGATATATGGATCGAGATGGGATGATATGTGGTAATATAGGGATGAGATGGATGTGCTGTAGATATAGGATGAGATGAGATGGGATGTGTGTAGATATGAGGATGAGATGAAACATGCATGTGTAGATATAGGATGAGATGGATGAGATGTGTGTAGGAATATAGGATGAGAATGAGATGTGGTAGATAAAGATGAGGATGGGATGAGATGTGTGTTAGATATAGGATGCAGAATGGGATGAGATGTGTGTAGATATCGGCATGAGATGAAAGATGTGTGTAGATATAGGCATGAGATGGGCAATTGTGTAGAATATAAAATGGGATGAGCAATGTGTGTAGATATAGGATGGAGCTGAGATGTTGTGTAGATATAGGCCCATGAGATGAGATTGTGTGTAGATATATCGGATGAATGGGATGTGTGTAGATATAGGATGAGACTGAGATGTGTTGTGATATTAGGATGAAGTGAGATTGTGTGTAGATATAGGATGAGATGGGATGAGAACTGTGTGTAGATATAGGATGAGTGAAATGTGTGTAGATAATAAGGATGAGGGATGAAGATGTTGTAAGATATAGGGAATGAGATGAGATGTGTGTCAAGATATAGGATGAGCTGAGAATGTGTGTAGATATAGGATGAGCTGAGATGTGTGTAAGATATAGGGTATGAGATGGATGAGATGTGTGTAGATATAGGATGAGATGAGATGTGTGTAAGATATAGGATCGAGATGGGATGTTGTGTAGATATAGGATGAATGGGATGAGATTGTTGTGTAGATTATAGGATGAGATGAGATGGGATGTGTGTAGATATAGGGGAAAAAAAATGAGATGAGATGTGTGTAGATATTACGGATGAGATGGGCATGTGTGTAGATATAGGATCCGAGATGGGATGTGTGTAGATATACGGATGGGATGAGATGAGATGTGTGTAATATTAGGCATGAGAATGAGATGTGTGTTACAGTGTAGATATAGGATGAGATGAGATGTGTTGTAGATATAGGATGAGATTGAGATGTGTGTAGATATATGGATGAGATGGGATTAGATGTGTGATAGATATACGGATGAGATGAGAATGTGTGTAGATCATAGGATGAGATGAGATGTTGTGTAATATAGGATGAGATGGGATGTGTGTAGATAACTAGGATGAGCATGACGAATGAGATGTGTGCTTACGATATAGGGATGAGAATGAGATGTGTGTAGATATAGGATGAGATGAGATGGATGTTGTGTAGATATAGGATCGAGATGTGTGTAGATGAATAGGAGAGATGAAGATGTGTGTAGATATAGGATGAATGAGATGTGTGTAGATATAGGCATGAGATGTGCTGTAGATATAGGATGAGATGAGGATGTGTGTAGATATAGGATGCAGATGGATGTGTGTAGATATAGGATCGAGATGGAGTATGTGTGTAGCATATAGATGAGATGGGATAAAGATGTGCTGTAGATATATGGATTGAGATCGGGAAGATGTTGTGTAGAATATAGGGGAGATGAGAATGGGATGTGTGTACGATATAGGATGAGCTGAGATGTGTGTAGATAAGACTGAGATGAGTATTGTGTGTAGATATAGGGATGAGATGGATCAGACCCTGTGGTGTAGATTTCCGGATGGAGGATGGGAATGTGATGTAGATATAGGATGAGATGAGAATGTTGTAGATATAGGAATGAGAATGGGATGAGATGTGTGTAGATATAGGATGAATGGGATGGTGTGTAGATATAGGATGAGATGAGATGTGTGTACGATATAGAATGGAGATGAGATGTGTGTAGATATAGGATGAGAATGAGATGTGTTGTAAGATTATAGGATGAGATGAGATTGTGTTAGATATAGGATGAGATGAGACATGTGTCGTAATATAGCGATGAGATGGGATGAGATGATGTGTAGCTATAAACGGATGAAGAAATGTGTGTAGAACTATAGGACTGAGATGGATGTGTGTAGATATAGGATGAGATGACGATGTGTGTAAAGATATAGGAATGGAGATGAGATGTGTTAGATATAGGATGAGATGGGATGTGTGTAGATATAGGATGGAAAGCCTGAGAGTGTGTAGATATCAGGCATGAGATGGAGATGAGATGATGTGTAGATATAGATGGCGATGAGATGTGTGAGATATAGGATGAGATGAGATGTGTTGTAGATATAGGATGAGATGAGATGTTGTGTAAGATATAGGATGAGATGAGATGTGTGTAGATATAGGATGAATGATGCATTGTCTGTGTAGATATAAGATGGGATGAGATGTGTGTAGATAATAGAATGAGATGAGATGTGTGTAGATATAGGATGAGATGAGATAGAGATTTAAATTTGAGATGAATAGGGTGGAATGTGTGTCCATGGAATGGAATATGGAATGTGGATGTTTATGGAGATGGGTGGGATGTGTGTATGGAGATAGATGTGTGTGAGTGTGAAAGAGATTGGGAGACTGAGTACTGTGTGTGCGTGCGTACATGTGGAGATGGTACGGGATAGAATGGCATATGTTTATATGGAGAGAGGAAAGGATGTGTGCGGCGGGAGATGGGATAGGATGGGAGGTTGCGTGTGTGGCTGCGTGCGTGCGTGCGTGCGTGCGTGCGTGCGTGCGTG